TGGTGATGACTAACTGCCTTCCCTCTAGTCTTACACTGCTAAATTAGTGACGGCTAGCGCAGATAGCTCTCGTGTAGATTTGAGCGAAATTCAAAACAAACAAACAAACTATTGAATATTTATATTATAATTGTGAAATAATAACGTACGAACATAATGTATGATGCAATATCAAACGTATTTTTAAACGTATTCTGCTACAAGTACCTAATAATCATTACATTATTGAAGTAAAGAAGATACTAATTAGCAACTGTTGTTGATCCAGGAAGAATATAGTTGTAATGGATTCTATTGATTGTCAGATTCTTTTTTATTAATCGGTAAAGATAGCCCCCCTCCCAGTAGCACAGCGGTATGTCTGCGGACTTACAACGCTAGAAACCGGGTTTCGATACCCGTTGTGGGTAGAGCACGGATAGCCCATTGTGTAGCTTTGTGCTTAACTTCAAACAAACTTAAACGGTAAATATAATGCAAAGTCCAGTCCATTTCTCGAAAAGGAAAGAGTTTTATTTCCACAACTCAAAGTTGTACAACTTTTAACGGTTTTACGAACTAACGACAACTAAGCGATAGACTTAACTCAAAAATATAATCACTTGTTACATTTCCTCACATAATTACGGCACCAATTTTGGTGACTAACACAGTCGCTGCTTCACAAAAACAACACAAAACCCATTAACTAACTACGTCACTGATCAACTAAGAAACTCAACAACAACTTTGACGTTTTTGTACTATTAGAATATTTTCCCCAATTCTCCAGAAAATTCAAGACGTCGTTTTAAATCTAGACACTCAGGACATTTGTAGACGTCACACGTCATCACTCCGACATGCCGAAATTCCCTCTAGCAAACGACGCAATATGTCTAAATTAAAATAATGAAACGTAGTTTACAACAATATATTTCAAGCATCAAAGTGTTCAATCTCCAGGGAAAACGGTAAGCGTATATGTGCACTCAGGCCTGTAATAGAAAACTCATCTGATAGTGTTAACATACATTGAGTTACAGATAGTGCATTTATAACTTGGAAAATTTACCGCGTCAATAAAATTGATTTTTTTAGCAATTATTAAAAGAATGGTTGAATTTTAGTAAATTAAATTTTGATTATACGTTTTTATTCTATTTTAGTAAGTGAATTTTAAAACATCTTCATTACTATCATATTGTATTAAATAGGATTTTGTTTTTACTATGGAGAGGTAGATATAAGGTAGATAAATATATAAATATGTCATTAATTATGTCATGTTTTTGCTTTTCTTTCTGCTTTTCAATATCACAAGTAGGCGTAACAAAATTAAATTCAAATTAAAGTTTAGTGCAACTGCACTAGACGATCTCTTTAGTAGTTCACAAAACATGTTGTTGTTTTTATGTAACCGTTTCCGGTTTTAAAACCTTTTTTATGTAAAATTATTGTTACAGGTACTCGTAATTCTTAAAATTAGCTTACTTTTTGTTCACAGTATGATGAATTCCTCTGTAAAGTATCAAGCACGATGAAACATCATTACAAGACTGGCAATACCATTAGGGACCTAATTCTTAAGTAGTCTAAAAACAGATTACATGTACGTGGGCAGAAGGGGGGGGGAGAGGGCACAACGGGTGCAATCGAACCCTTACATATGTATAAAACATACTTATAATGTGTAAAAGCAGCTCCAGTTAAGGCCCGGCATGGCCAGCTGGTTAAGGCACTCGACTCGCAATCTGAGGGTCGCGGGCTCGAATACCCGTCACACCACACATGCTCGCCCTTTCAGCCGTGGGGGCGTTATAATGTGACGGTCAATCCCACTATTCGTTGGTAAAAGAGTAGCCCAAGAGTTGGCGGTGGGTGGTGATGACTAGCTGCCTTTCCTCTAGTCTTACACTGCTAAATTAGGAACGGCTAGCGCAGATAGCCCTCGTGTAGCTTTGCGCAAAATTCAAAAACAAACAAACAAACAAGCTCCAGTTACCATACAAATACACCATTTTTAGTGGAATTTACAACCAGTAACCGGTGCATATTGTTCAAGTACAGGCCTTTTCTTTCGAACGAGTTCAAATAGTCAAAACTTGAGAAGAAACATTATTCATATAAGCTCTTTATGATACATTTTCATCTTAATTGTGACGCTGCAGGCCTAAAGAGAGTCGATCTTGAAAGTACCATATTTTTCGGAATATAAGACGCACCCTTATTTTGAA